AACTCATTCATACACCGATGCTATGCATCGGGAGCAATTTGGGGTTCAGTATCTTGCTCAAGGACACTTCGACACGTGGCAAGAGGAGCCGGGGAATGATCAACAACCTTCCAATTATTGGACGACCCGCTCTGCCTCTGAGCCACAGCCGTGAACCTGGGATTAGCTGCAGTTAGTTAGCAGCCGGACTCGATGGATAACTTTTACAAACGTCTCCAGAAAACTGTGCTTGAAACTAACTGAAACATAGACTGATGTGAATCTTCAGATTTGTCTTGCAGCCAGGTAGAACACACAGAGACTACATACAACATGATAAAGTATATCAAATTGTACAACTTGAGAACAGGCCACCGCTGCTTCTGGACCCTGGATGTCAGTCAGATGACCTGGATAACCTCTCATCCTCACATTACATGGTAAGGACTGAGAGTAGCTCTGAAGGCAAAAGGCTAAAGGGAAAGCTAACGACTGGGAGCTTCAAACTCTGATGGTGGGTGACTAGATTAGCTAGCTAGTTAGCTATTGTTTTGCAACATTTGACTAGGCCTATATATATATCGTTTTATCTTCAAAATGTGATATAGATATAGGATAAAGTGAAAGTTTCAGCAATGTTAGTTAATAATTAACAAGTTATTTTATTATTAAGTTACCTATGGCATCTTTAAAGGACTAGTGTGTGGGATTTTGTGGCATCTAGTGGTGACGTTGCACATTGCAACTAACTGAACACTGCTCGCATCTGTATTTCATGACTGCAGAATAGATGAGAGCAATCATCTTTGTCCTTGCGTCAAGCCCCTGCCCCCCCTTGGGTAAAAGCAGCCCCTGCCCCCCCTTGGGTAAAAGCAGCCCCTTTAATTTGACTGGAGGCAATTTAATAGCATAAAATAAAATACCGTATTGCTTTCAAGCTATTAGGAGCCGATATCCTATGGCCAGCAAGGCAAAAAAGACAAACAATTACGTTGTGTCATTGCTGATCAATAATCAGCATCGTTGCTGCAGAAATAACAGAACAATAATAAACTGTTTATTTTTCTGTTTTGGTCGTCTGTCCAATGTGACGTTATTGTAAACTAATTCCATGTGGCGAAGCAGAACCGCTGTTTTTGTGTTTGATAATGGACCTTTTACTACGAGTTTACATTTTGGAGCATTCAATCATATCAAATTTTAACATTTGGGCAAACTCCATCTGCTGATGGAGATCATGTGATATAATGGAAAACTCCAGATCATCTACTAACACAAATAATATGATCAGCTCAGATGAAACCACCCAGGACAAAATTAGCTCCACCTCAGTCAGAATTTACAGCAGTAAAATGCTACTTACACATTAAAGGTCCAGTGTGTAGGATTTAGTGGCATCTAGCGGTAAAGTCGCAGACTGCAAGTAACTGAACACAGTATGTAGGAGAAACTACGGTTCCTGTGAAACTCGCAAAAAAACATGAAAGGTTCTATCTGGAGCCAGTGTTGATTTATCTGTTCTGGGCTACAGTAAAAAACATGGTGGACTGTAGAAGAGGACTTGCTCCTTCTGAAGAAAAACAGCTCATTCTAAGGTAACAGAAACTCAAGAATTATAATATTCATCAAATAATGTAACACACTGGTCCTTTAAAGATAGTATTAACAATCCAATAACATCTTATATAACCATATAATAGTCATAGGAGCCTTTCTTGATGATTTTTACTAAGCTAAGTACATTTAGCTGTTCAATTTTTATGTATTTTTTACTTTTACTGAAGAGACTGAGTATTTTTTCCACCACTGGTTACTGAAGGTGCCACCCAGGACAGGTCAGTAATAGTTTGGCTGCAGGCTTTGCTTTCGGCTCTAAATAAACTTTCTGCTGCATGATGTTCTGTCTCTACACAGATTCAATAAATGACTGTGGGCTAGCTGTTGTGTATCTTGAGTTACAGAGTCCAGTATGCAACTTGTACAGTGATGTAGAAACTTGAAGCCAACAGTGCACATGCACTGAGAATGGACTTTACAGTAGATAACTTTTTAAGGATTATTATGTGTTAATTATAGGGTTTTTTATTACTGTTCCAAGCTTGTCTTAAAACATGACTGGAGGGGATCTTTAAAGTAAACTCAAATTCATGACTCCACCCAGAAGCTGTTTGGCCAACCGTAGAAGATCCTTCCAATGGCACCAAAAGAGAAATGCCCACAGCATCAGCAGCAGCGTTCACTGCTTGACATCATGTGAGTGACAGGCCAACTCCCTGCGCTTCCTATAGGAGATGGAGGATATCTTTTCTGTTTAGCTTGTGTTATCTTTCCTGACACATCGGTGAGGACAGGGCAGTGACCCGAAAGCCTCCCACAGTATCATGTGTGTTGGCCCTGCAGAGAGGCGCAAGCTAAAGATGGCAGTTGGTAGCCATGCTGTAGGGGTTGGCATCATTCAGAGGCCACCACGGTACCAACTCCTGCTCATTCATTTATTTACACCACACACACACACACACACACACACACACAAACAAGCACATCATTATAACCCATCCCAAGGCCTCCATCCTACCTCCATATCTGGCCCAGCTGGAGGATGTGGATGACGGACTGTCCGAACCAGACGCAGAAGGAATAATAGGCCGACCGTTTCCTAGTCCTGCTGCCCACCGCGGTGCTGGCGGTGCTGTTGGTTGTGGTGTTCTTGCTGGCGGTCGACGCCTGTCTCTGTGGCGTGGCCGGGTGGTGTTGAGCGGTAACTTCGCCGTGCGAGGCGGAGTCGCTCAGCAGCTTGTTCCCGTCCATGTGAGAGCAATCGGCGGCGGACTCGGCGCCGTCCTCGGTGCTGAAATCGTGCACGAACCATCGGAAGCTAAAGAGCTGAACCGAGAAGGAGCCGAGCACGACGAAGAAGAGCGTCAGGCCGAACCACCAGTAGTCGCGGCGGAGGTAGTAGTCGACCGATAGCCACACGTCGGTGCCCACGTCGGCCAGATACACGGCCACTGCGGCTACGATCCACAGACAGTCCCACACTGTGTATTTCTGCTGCTCCCTGCCCAGGCGAAGGCACGTCGAGTTGGAGCCTCCCCCGCCGCAGCACCGTGACTCCCCGTTAGCGAAGTCCCCGTCCCCGGTGCCCGCAGAGTCGGGCTGGGCGCCCGGGTGGAGCCCCTGCACCGAGCCGGAGTGCTCCGAGTTCTGCAGCGGGGTGAAGGCCACGTCGCTCTTCTTCATCTTCAGGACCCCGTCCGATTTAGCCGCCATTATTAGAAGCTTGTAATATTACTCTATTATTTTTCCTCCCCTCCTCTCCTCTCCTCTTCTCCTTGGCCCTTGCCTCGCTCCGTCGACACCCTTCTGTGCGTCGCTCCTACTCCTCCTCCTTTCTGGGCAGGACTAGCTCCTCCACACTGCCGCCTGCTCATAATACACAATAAAGACAAAAAAGAGGACCCGCGCTTGCTCCGATATTTTGGTCCATATCAGGTCTTTACTGGGCTTGTCCCCTCGGTTGATGGTCCGCTCACATCCAGCCGGCAGGAGGAGCCGCTTTGTTTCCCACCTGAAGACAGCCTACCTTAACTGATTTTGCTCCTGCGGGTTTTCACTTTGCCCTCGATGAGTCCTGATGCTGGCAGATGTTGGGGATGGAAATGGAGATGGAAACAGGAGCGAAGAAAAAAGTGAGGGGGGAGGAGGCTGCAACCATCTGCTTCTTCCATGGCACAGACTGAAAACTATGACATCATCCATTCCTCCCCTTTTTCTCCCTCGCTGACTCTCTCCGTCTCTCTGCTCGACACACCGTTTGAGTTCTCTTACAGCACAAAGTAAAGGCTGATATGTTAAAATACACTATTGAGGCCAACATGCAGCCTGCCATGTGAATCAGGACATAAAGAAGAAAACTGAGCTGAAGCAGCCTCAAGTCCTGCATGGTTCTAAACCAGCACCATGGACAGATCCTGCTCTAATTGTTACTCAGCAGAAACTTCAACATGAACCAGTTCCTAAGCAATCACCACGTCATTTTATACGCTGCAGCACAATACTTTTGTCCAATAGATAGTAGTGGAAGAAGGACTAAGATATTGTACTTGTAACAGTAGCAGTACCACAGTGTAGAGATACTCTGTTACAATTGAAAGTCACGCATTAAAAATTTTACTTAAAGATCGCCTCCTAGATAGCTGCTTGGAACAATAATGTGTCTCATATGTTTAAAAAAAGAACATCACATTTCAAATTAAAGCTGCAGTAGGCAACTTTTATAAAAATAACTTTTTGTCATATCTGCTTTCGTTCAGGCCCGGTGGACAAATGCCATTAGGAGCACCAGGAGGAACCTGATTTTTTCTGTTTATCTGTCTCATGTACTGCTTTACTTACTGCAGCTATACAATCAGCTTTTCAATGAGCACAGA